AGTGGGATGTGTTGGGGTATAGGTGACACACATGGCAGCGCCACATGCAGATGGTGCACATGGATGAGCAGCCAGGCTAGTGAAGCATAAAACCAGCCAACTTGCTGATCACACACACACACACACACACACACACACACACACACACACACACACACACACCACACACACACACACACACACACACACACACACACACACACACACACACACACACACACACACACACCACACACACACACACACACACACACACACACACTCAAAAGCATGCTGAGACCACCAGTTAGCTTGCCAGCCCTTTACTCACCCAAATCACCACTGTGAAAATTAATACCTCCAACCGTCATACAAAAACTAGCCACACACTCTAGAGCAGACACACACATGCACACACACCCACTCAAAAAAAAAAATCAATGACTGCATTAATTATTTACGTGGGAAAATGCATCTATAAAATTTACAAAGGCAACCTTTTTGAAACATTTTACTTTTAAAGCCGATTCAATAGAAAAAAAACAAAACAGTCTGAGATCCTTTGGTTTTAATATCGGCCGTGTTAATCTTAACGATTTTCTTTCCTTTGCCATTTCCCTTTCTTCCAAACAGACCTCAAGAAAAAACCAAGATTGACTGCCGGCTGACTGCTTTTCCATCAGTGTGACACTCAACACAAATGCAGCCACACACAAGTGCTTACCTGATGAGAGACGAGACCGATTGAACGATTAAAAAAAAAAAAACACAGACCCCCACCTTCCACATGATTTCAAACATGCACACAAAGCCATCAAAGCGCACACATTATACACAAACGCACAGGCGCTGACGGCCATACACACAATAAAGCATGGTGCGTCTGGGAGGACACAGGGGGCTGAAAGCAATCTTCCCACTGACCTTGAGTGGGGAGGACAAAACGTGTGATGCAGGGAGAAAAAAAAAACCCAATGCGAGGAAAAGGAGTGAAATACATAATGTATCTTCACTGGCGGAGGGAAACAAATGCTTTCACTGTGATTGAGGACACATCACCCTCACACATCAATACACACACACACACACACACACACACACACACACACACACACACACACACGCACACACACACACTCACATTCCAGCTTAAAGAACACTGGATTGAAAACTGAAAGCACAGAAAAACTCATTTTCCTAAAGCAGGAGGAAAACACAGGGAGAGGAACGGAGAAAGTACGACAAAGAAAGAAGATGATGGAGAAAAAGCAGTGGGTGGAGAGAACAGAGGAGTCAGTAAAGAAGCCAAAATAGGTGGAAACAAAGAGGGGGAGAGGGAGCGAAGCAGACAGAGACAGATGGATGGAGTAAAGAGAGTGAAGGGTAGAGAGAGAGATGACTGCTAGTGACCGGCCTTTGTAGATGACTGTCGTTGCTCACTTTCGAGTCAGCTTCACTGAAGCAAAGTCTTAATGACTCACGGGCGTGATACTCTGCATAATCAAGCTGTGCATGTGTGGGTCTGAGTGTCTGTGTGCATGTCTTGTGTGTGCGTTCGAGCCACTAGTCTTGTAACAGAGAACTTTATTACCATCTGTTCCCACACATGCTTATTTGTTTAGCCGTGACATGCACGTCTTCTTCAATCGCTTTGCTATTCTTTCTCTTTCCCACTCTGCGCCTCCTCCAATCACCTCTTTCCTTTGTGAACTCATCCCCCCCCCCCACATCCCGCTGCACGCATGGAGGGGTTCTACTCACATACATCGTGTCCGACCCCCCCAAACCCTAAAAAAAAATTACGACCATTATCTCAGTGGTTTTCTAACAGCCTCGCAAGTGGTGGTGAAATCGAGTCATTTTAATCAAAGCATGTGTGTGTGTTCCTCTGAGCCTGTGTCACTGTGTGTGTGTGTGTGTGTGTGTGTGTGTGTGTGTGTGTGTGTGTGTGTGTGTGTGTGTGTGTGTGTGTGTGTGTGTGTGTGTGTGTGTGTGCCTCAGTACCTGCATAGGCCATTAGGTGGAGCTGGTGCCTGACTGAGAGTGAGAGACGGATAGAGGGAGAGAAAGGCTGGAGAGATAGCTGAATGAATTGGAAGAGAAGAGTCACTCTCTCCTACCTGTTATCAATTCTTTTTTTCCGGCACTGTAATTTTTCGCCCAACAGTTTGCTGTATGCTGGATTTCTGTGTCTAGGAGCATCAATTATTCATACTTCAGTAAGTACCACCTGGTAGTAGAAGCATGCTAGTGGTTCTGAGTTTAAAGATAAAGTAAAGAAGAAAAATAATAATTCCATTATCCTTGAGCATGAGTATTTTAGTGAGCACAGACCACAAGATATAATTGACCTTTTTCCTGCCATGCATTTTAATTAGCTGCTCCCAGAGAAGCCCAGGTGTAGCTAATAACATTAACAATGTCCCAGTAAGCCACACCAGTAAACAAACCTGCACACTAACTCAATCTGGAGCACCTTAATGGAATGCAGCCATCGTTAATGTTGTTAATAACACCTGTACTGTTCCTGCTGTGGAATATCAAAGGGGACAAAAATGTCAAAAAAAGGACACACAGAACTTGGCCTACAGTTTAAATCAAACGAGAAATGAGAGGACAAGCCCAATTTACAATCACAAATCATTCAGTGATTTTCAGTTTTTTCCTAATTGATCTGAGTTCTCTGGGAAATCTTCACGATAAGATTCAGACGTTTCCAAAACCACAGAGATGCACAGGCACACGAGCACCTGCGCTAGCACAGATCTTGTTGGCAATTGAGAGAAAAAGGGACGGTAGCCCGGAGGAAGGGCAGGTGTCCACAGATGGAGCGCTCTCTCTGTCTCTCTCTCTTTCTCTCGCTCTCTCTCACCCTCTCTCTTTGATGCCACAGATGGACCCAATCACACCTATTTCTCTCTCACATGCCCTATAGCTAGATAATCAGTGTGTGTGCGTGCGTGCGTGCGTGCATGTGTGTGTGTGTGTGTGTGTGTGTGTGCGTGTGCGTGCGTGTGTGTCTGACTTGTTTATTTTGTCACTTAAAAAGGGTGTCTTCTGAATGAGTCTCTAAATATGCATGTGCTCTGCTGTGGTTTTAGCCCACAGCAGAGCACATGTGGTGTTTACTGTGTGAAGCAGTGGAGGCTGCATTGTGAAAATACTAAATTTCTATCAAACTATCAGTCTGTTGTAGCCAAACATTTCAAATAACAGCAAAGTTAATTCTCTGCAAATGTCTCAAAAAGACAACACAATGTTTCAAAGCACAGCATGAAAATGAATCCTACGATTCAAAACTGTGTGCTGGCTCAGGACAACATTTAATTTAACTTCATATTTGCATGTTTGGTGACAGATGAACACGTGAGAGGTGGCCCGCAGAGGGTCTGTCTGTCTCAGGTGGCAGGGGGTCCCACTAGCCAATGAGACCACCCGCTCCGTAAAGCAGGAAGTGAACCACCGATCTGTCATCTGTCTTCATAAGCCCACCAGTCAGGACCCTGCTAATTAGTCACCATGGAAACCATGGCTAATTCCCTGGTCTGCCATGCCAATCACGTCCTGTCTGTGGCAGCAATCAGAAAGGCACATTTATCCACCGCTGGGCCGGATCCGTGTAACAGATGTGTGTGTGTGTGTGTGTGTGTGTGTGTGTGTGTGTGTGTGTGTGTGTGTGCGTATGTGTCGGTGGGTGGCTTGTGTTTGTGTGCTCGCATGTGGGCGGTTCAGAGAGTTTGTAAGTGTGAGAGCTTGTGAAAGGCCTTAGACAATGTTGCCTTTATGTTTTAGAAAAAAAAAAGAAAGATGCCTGTCTAGTTGGTAAATTCAGAGTGTTTGTTCAGAAAGGAGGCAGATGTGTCGGAGCTGCTGAGAGGGGTGTGTGCCATGTTGTGATTGTCTGTGGGAACTGTTTGATTAGCTTGACGAGTGCTAGCAATCCCTTCACACCCACAAAGCAATCAAACATCTATTATATGACACACACGCAGGCAAAAAAACACACACATAGATAGAGACGTGGAGATATATTGTAGAAGCACTTAACCTCTTCCCTAAGGTCAAACTGTTCTTTCTAACAACACATCCCCTTCTGCTCTCAAATAACCTGCACACCAACACACTGAGTTAGAAATAAACATTTTGGCTTGAAATTCAATCCACATCACACCGCAAATTTTCTATTAATTACTCAGCATTGGATTAGAAAGGCAAATAACCTTGTAAACATTGGGGAACACATACATGCATAAATTATGGATTGAATTTAACAGGGGCAACCCATGTCCCGTCTGTTTCCAGCCATCAGCTACCTGTCAATCACTGTAATTACCATCAATTGAAACGTGCTCGCCAGAAAGCTTTGGGGCAGACACGCGCAATCGGGCACTTATATATGCACAGACTTTAAATCAATGACTAATAAACACGCATGGACACACACACACATGGACGCACACACACATTTGAGTGGAATCTCATAGCAGCAGTACATACTGGCAGTCTCGGATGCCAATCATAACTTCAAGCGCACATCAAAGACAAGTTCTGTTCCTATGTATGCCGTTTGATCACCAGTGCTGCCGCCTCCGCCGCACACACACGCGCACACGCACACGCACACGCACACGCACACACACGCACGCACGCACGCACACACACACACACACACACACACACACACACACACACACACACACACACACACACACACACACACACACACACTCTCTCTCACTCACACACTCCATATGTGCATATACCCTCGATAAGAGCAAAGCATTAAAATCCAAGATGCATAGGCTGGAAGAATGAGAAATAATTCAGGAATGGTTTTCTGTTTTAGTGCGTGTGTGTGTGTGTGTGTGTGTGTGTGTGTGTCCACAGAAGAAGAAACACAGGGATTGGCTCCAGTAAAGTTCCAGCGACGCTCCATTGTTCCTCACACTGTTCCCCGGAGAGAGCGTGGCACAATAGCATCTGTCTGCTGTAGGGACAAAGAAGTATCCGAGGGGTCTTACCTGTCTCATGAGAGAGGGTCTTGGCTCGTCCGGTGTTGCCTGAGTGATGCATCGCTCCGTACTTGTCTCTCTTTCTGATTAACCCTCTACCCTTATCTCCTCTCCTCCACACTCCACTCCTCGCCGCTCCCTTAAGAGTCCTCTCTTCTTGATTCTCAATCTTTTTTTTTGCAACTTGTTTTCACCTTGTCTTTCCACAAAGTCCTCGCTGCCTGCCGCCCTCTTCCCTCACTGTTGTTTCCCCCTCACTCTTGTTCCCCTTTCTTCTCCTCTCTCCGTCTGTCTGCTGTGAAGAACAATCCGCTCGCTGAGTGCCGGAGCACCGCACAGGAGGAGAGAGAGGGAGGGAGAGGGAGAGAGAGATAGAGCAGGAGCCCGAGAGACACACACACGCTCACGCGGCGTGGATCGACACACTTGCACACGTGTAGCTGTGACACTGCAGAGACAAACGCCACATACAAAAACACCAGAGGGGAAAAAAGATGCACTCCTTTCTCCCCCTTTTTTCCAGGAGACTGCAGGTCTTATTGTCTCCCCTCCTGTTTCTAGTCCTCAGTCCTCTTTTTTGCTCAATCCGTCACAGATCGAGGCTTGTTCGGGCAGAGGGGAACGAATGGATGAGGAGACACTGAGTAGGAAAAAAAAAAAGGATGCCTTTCAGCCTGTGGCAGGCAGAGCAGAAGAGAAGGAGAGATGTGGCTGCGGCTCCATCCTCCATCTGCCCACAGCTGAGACTGAGAGCAGACTCAATGCACACACACGCTCGCGCTCTCTCTCTCCTCCTCTCTCTCTCTCTCTCCTCCTCTCTCTCTCTTTTCTCCCAGCATCACCGCACCAGCAAGATGGAGGGGGAGGAAGGATGACGGCGGGAGCTAACGAATGAGCCAGAGGGAGAGAGAAAGCGGGGTAGGGGTGAGACAGAGGAAGAGGGAGAGGAGGAGAAGGAGGAGGAGGAGGAGGAGGAGGAGGAGGAGGAGGAGGAGGAGGAGGTGGCAACAAGGGCGGGAGAAAGCCACGGAGCCCAGAAGCGCTGGAGAGTGAAAGAGTGACAGAATCATGGGAATGTGACAAAGCATGCACATCAAGGGCGAAGGGGAAAGAGGGAGGAGGAAGAATAAAACCAGATATAGGAGACACCAGGGATTTGGTGTGAAGGAAAGAGGCGATGAGGAGACACAGAAAGAGAGGAAAGATTTGGTTCTAGGTTAAAAGACGAGGCAGTGAGGCTGGGGGGGGAAGAGTCAGAGAGAAAATGAAGGGCAGAGGACACTGCGGCGATGAAGCTGGTAATATGTCAGATCTCACATTATGTCCCTAAATAGGAAAAGAACAATGTCAAACAATGCAGCTCCAGACACAGCATCTCTTTGACACAACTCTCCCCCTGAAAACACCAACACCCTGAAATGAAGGGGAAACCAGTGCTCATCTTGACACAAATGATACACAATTGTGTCCTCTCACAGAAGTATCAAACATCAAACCAGCTTAATTAATCCTCTGCAACGAAAAAATAAAATGTGTTTCTTTATCTGACTCCGGCCAACAGCTCAGGTGGCAGGTGAGCAGGTGAGTGAAGGTCCCCACAGTGTCCAGCAGAGGGCAGACATCCTGTCACCCATCAACCAAACAGGCTGAGGTCATCTCTGGCTCATCAACATATTGAAAAATTAACACAATGCTGCATTACTGAACGCATTGATCAACATTCAGTATGCATTTGACACATCACTTAAGTCAGTTAAGAGGATATAATGCATTTAGACAGCGCTGCATCTGCAAGGCTGTTCATCATTTAGTGCATATTTAGAGATAATTCAATGACTTAGAGGAATGATATTACGGGGTAAGACTGCCTCGAATATATGTTTTCTAATGTATGGAGAGTATTGTAATTTTTATTAGGGAAAAAGAACCTACAAAAAAAGGAAGTAAGGAAAGGGGGACAGCACACACACTTACACATTCTAACAGGCGTTGAACTTCAGGTATAGAACTGCAGTTCAGAGCAAAAGCTAGCAGGTGTGTGTAGTGTCATGAGAGTGTGTTGTCGGGCCGACGATATGCGCAGTAGAGGCCAACCCAAGAGCCAACACTCTGGAGGACTGCTGTCAGCCTAATTTTCTATCCCGTCATGTGACATTTTCCGACGTCATCTATCATCCTCAACGAGTCACAGATGTACCCCAGGTCGCACACACACACACACACACACACACACACACACACACCTATACGCTCACATGTCTGTGCGCACAGATCAAGGGCGGCAGTTAGCTCCCTTTCATACCCAGGTGTAGAAGCTCGATTTACAGCAGCGGTGGGTTTAGAGAGAGGGGGGGGGGGGGCAGCTATGACTTCATCATATTAAAGTTGAGAGTGCGGCCCAGGTAGCATCAGCGGGAGCGCAGGAGGAGACGCTGGATTTTTTTTTTTCCAGATGAGGTTCACGTCAATTTGTCATGATAAAAAAACCCATCTCAGACAGAAACAAATTGCTTTCTTGACAACACCTTGTAATACTCCATCATGCACACACATATACACACACACACACACACACACACACACACACACACACACACACATATACAATTGCTTCAAACTGCCTCAACATTCATATGTTCCTACTCACAGAAATTGATGCAAAGTGATACATTTTTTCATGCAGGTTATTTATCACTGCCATTCAGCATCATTATACCTGGCATAACTGTGATACCATATATATATTAGACGTATATGTTGGCTACACAGGAGCTCCCACTCAAGCCTGATTCACTAGAGAGTTCATTCAACCTGGTGTATGGAGGGCACGATGATGTAAGGGAAGGACGTAAAGAGAGGAGAAGATGAAGAATGTGCTAAAGGAACATGAACGAGAGCGTAAAGGTCACACAGAAGAAGGAGAGCAGGGATCACGTAACAGAAAGAGAAGTAAGATCTCTCCTTATTGGCTCTTTTATGCAGATTTGACTCAATCTTTCCCATTTTTTATTCGTCTCACTCTTCCATTCTTACTTAAACGTTGGGTTTCTGAAACTCAAACTTGGTAGTTTAAATTGCAAGTAGTCAATTTATACCTTCGCAGCATGCTATTTCATTCTTCTCAATTTTTCTGGAGCCTCTTTGCCTCACAAAACATTTTCTTCCCTCAGTGAGGGTTTTTTGTTCTTTCCCCCCCACTTATCTGCTTGCTCCCATCCACGTACCTCCTCCTTCTACATGCCTCCAGAACTGAAACACCAAGGGAGAGCAGGTGAAGGGAGAGAGAGAGAGAGAGAGAGAGAAAGAGAGGACAGGAGGAGAATAAATGCAGAGAGAAGGTGTGCTATAAGGTGCCCCCATGGGTTGAACATGGTCATTTGTCATAAGGCTGAAAGCTTAAGAAAAGACTAGTTAACCTTTACAGCTGATCCCCGCGAGACGCAGGAAAAAACAGAGCCCAGCAAAACACCTTCAGGAGTGCAGGACTCGTAAAGTCCGTGCACACACATGCATGAATGGCCCCTCGCAATATAGGCCGAGGAATCCTGAATCGATAGCTGTGAACCTGCTCTACGAGAAGCGAGAGAAGGTTACCATTTTCTCTTCACTTACCCCTCCCTACTTTCTCTCTTTTCCCCCAACGAGAGGCCTTGTTGTCTCCACGGTCCTTTTCCCTTCCTCCTTCATCCCCCCCACCCCCCCAATTCTTGTCATGCCCACACCCTGCCAGAGTAATTAATCACCTTGTGCTAATGAGCTATTAACTAATGACAGATTGACATGCCTCTGCCTGTGTGCGCATGTCTTTGTGTGTGTCAGTGTGTCTGCGCTAGCATGTGTGAGTGTTGCCAGAGCCACCCTCTGCACACTAATGTGATTAATAAGGTTAAGCTCTTATTAGGGAGGGAGCACCAGTGCACACACACACACACACACACACACACACACACACACACACACACACACACACACACACACACACACACACACACACACACACACACACACACACACACACACACACACACACACACACACACACACCTGTACACACACAAGCCAACACCCATGCCTGCACAGATGAAACAATCCCAAATTGACTCCATCCACAGGGCAGACAATGAGTATGTTGGCCGGCTGGAAGTCTGCATATAAATAAAACTGGGGCAAAGAAAGAAATCACATCAAATGCTTTCTACCTTTCACCATATATTCTCATTACCCAGAGGCTGACTCTGCTAAACACTAATCACATCTCAGGGAAAAATAGGAAAGCACTGGAGAAATGCACATCACAACAGCAAGGAAACAGAAACCTACAAGCCCCCTTTTTGTGGTTTCTGTGTCAAGTTTCCAGACATTTGTCAACATTATTTACTCATGCTGCAGAGGACTAATTCGTCAGTAGAGCTGAGCCTACTCTTAAAATGTTCTGGTACCTTTTTTTTGTCTGTACAACACAGATTCAGGGCTGATTTTCAAAGTTGCAAAGTTTTTTTTCTGTGTAATACTTTGCACATCTGTTGAGTTCGACGCAATCAAACAATCTGGACATGACTATTCATATTCAAAAAGGACAATCCACACACTACTTTTGGTTTATGCTTTCCTACTCATACTTTCCGTTGCTGAGCTGGTATGACACCATTGATAAGGGACGGGGAGAGATTACATTCTCTTGTAAAATTTGTAACAGAGCTTCTGGACGTTGAGAATAAGGAACACAGCCTCCGACTGGTCACTAGACTCAACACAAGGCATGAGCATGTGGCTAAGTGAAAGGCCTACAGAAAAATTAGCAGGGATTGAACAAATTTGCATGAATTTTGCAATTGCAATATTGCAAAGTCCTGGAGGGCCTGAAAAAAAAGATTCATTACAGACATTTTACTGGCTTTGAGTTTTTTTTACACTTTCTGCTAGTTCTACTCTTTTTTTCCCAAATTACTTCAAAACAGTTTAATTTTTTTGGCCTAAATATTACGGTTTTGGGTTTCTGCATTGACTGGCATCCTTGCTAATAACCAAAAGCATAATTGAGGTAGTAATGGGTTCTGATACTGGTACCAATCCCAGAACACTATGGGAACATTTTAAGTACAACCTCACAACTCTTGGACTAGTAATAACCTTCAGAGCTGCTTTCAGTACCATGGACAGCGACACATAGCAGCCGCTTTAAAAACAAACGTGTCCTCACGACATTGTCCTTGTATCATTGGACAGCGTGATCCTCTCCTTAGTAATAAATAATCACATCTTAATAGACTGTGTACTAAACAATTACAGAGTTTAAAGAGCGGCTTTATATCACAGTCTACCAGTGTTTCTTGAAACAGGTAGTTCCATTAGCAGTCTCTACCTGGAGTCTGTATAATCAGATGTATTGGACTCTCACGCCTCTGCTTTCCAATTCCAAGAGAAATGTAGTTAAAGAGAGATCACTTGATACTCAGGAGGATCCTTGCACTACATAATAGGGAGACTAACCTAGCTGCATGTGTGAGCATACTTGCATCACATAGTGTGTATGTGCTTCTGTGTGTTTCTGACCTAACAGTGTGTCCCTCTGGAGAAGTTTTTTGGCGCATACCGAGACTCATTTGCATTCTCGCCACACTCTCATTTTTTTTCCGTGGCTTTAGAAGTGAACAGCTGCTTAATGGTCATAGCTCTTCAGAGACAGGACATTGGGAAGCACAGAGGGGGTTAGCCAGGGTTT